CTGCTTAACAACACTGCGACGTGGCGGATGTGACTCGCCACAAACTAAAGTCACTGGCACGTGGACATTCGGAAAATGCTATCCAATCCACGAAAATCAGTCGCTTATTCTCACATTCCTGACGAAAACAAACAGTCAAAAATTCTGCGGCGCATTCAAAAACACAAGCTACATTCCTATACAATTACATACGTACATACACCCATATACTTACATACACTGTTATGCTAAACATGTCCTTTTGTACAATTTGTTCACACTATGTTAGCTAAGTATGATCATGCCTGTAAAGGTGTGCCTCGCATTGACGAGAACAGAAATTTATTTATTTTATTTATTTATTTAGTTCGGTTGGCAAGGCGATTAGCTATGATAGATTATCTGTGCAATCCAAGGACGCGCAAGGACGGGATGGGTGGGATTCCGAGATTGGATGTTCCACTGAATACCGCGCGATCCAGTGTGTGCGTACATGATTGCACTGAGGGTGAGGCGCAGGAAATGAACCGCTCAGCACCATCATTTCACGCACCAGGCTCCGATGGCTCGGCCACGTGTTACGCATGCCAGCCCACCGACTCCCTCGACGTGCGTTGTTTGCGCGCCGAGGGTGTGGTTGGAAGAAGAGGAGGGGTGGCCAAGCGATGACTTGGTCGAGAGGAATGAAGGCCCTCACTTCTGAGCTGGCCTCGGTTGGAACGTCTCGGCTCCCTGGTTGGGGTCCGAAAGACGATGAACACGTTTGGTTGGACACACTTGCTGATATGGCTAGGAGCCGATCTCAGTGGCGTTCGCGTTGTGAGTTTCTTTTCCCTCCCCATCCCACTTAGCCTCCCCCTTCAACCACGATCTCATTACTTAGCCTTATATAATTTTGCATGGTATTTTTTGATGCACAGTAGCCGGCTGGTAGCTTACCGGAACGATGCCCATCCGTTACCGGTAGCTCAGCCGGCTTGCCCCAGTTGAATTCATTTTTTTCTCTCCTTTTTTCTGTGTATTGCGGCACAGTAGCTGAGGTGTTCCCCACCTCCAGCTAACGTGTATGATGATGGTGATGATGAGGCGCAGTTCGAAATGAGAATGCGTCCAGTGGTGCGCATAGTAAAATGCGAGACTAGACCCCCAGATTACCGTGGCAGGCGAGGTGAATGGGATTGGGCGGATAAGTGGAAAAACGTCTAGGGAGACCCAAGACCGATATCCTGGGTCTAAGTCACAGAGTGCTGACTGAGTATGACTGTAGAGTAGATACAAGGACGAAATTGTCGGTGTAGCGCAATGATGAAGACGAGCAACAAAAACCGCGCCCCGATTTAGGTCTTCTGGACCGGTAAGCAGTAACTGGGTGTTGGGTGTGCTTCTGTGGTTTAGGGATGAAAAGCCGTGCCACTATGGATGAATACACTAGCAATTTTGTGAGATAAAGGAAAATATGATAAGAATAAAAAGAGAGCAAAAGAGTATCTCGGATTTCGGCACCACTGTCAAAGCTACACGTGCGTTGCTTACTCGAAAAAATCGCTGGTGGAATTAAAGGCAGCAAAAAGGATCTAAGTTCCCAATCAGATATTTAGGTTAAGGATTGCAAGTGTAGCGCGTTCGAGGGAAAGAAGTAATCTATCCCAATGGGAAAAGAATGTACCTCAATGTCATTCAGCGAACGCAAGCTGTAAGAGGCTGTCGGCGGAACCAGCTGTAATCAGCATAGATGGAATGAAAATAACCCAACTGGTAGCGAAGCGCAATTTTGTTGCAATACAGCACATTGCATTTACATGAAAAAATACCCGTGAACCTCTGAATGAATCTTATCAGAAACAGACTCAATTACTTAAATCTGAGAACCCAGAAAAAGCCGCACAAAAACTATACAAGGAAAATCAGATCGCGGCTACACACAAGCCGCCCTTTTAAAACGAAGTATCCGCAATTTAACGTACATCGCGATGGAAACAAACGCGTCGGAAATAATTTGGAACACTAGTAGCCCGGGTTGGTTGCTCACCAGTTGATCGTCTCTCCGAGCTTGGTAAAGGGATTGCATAAGTTTCACCACCATGCGAGGTGGCATCATCAGTGCGGTGGTATGCAGTGTACAATCCTGCTTATTGAATCGTCAGTCCGTGATCGACGGGCAGGTGACTTTTGAAGGTGGCAAATTCGATCTGCGCCACGTGATCTCTGTCCATTCTCTTCTGCGGCTGAACCTAGTCTTTTTATTCGCCGGAGATCTTGCTTTATGAGCTGATGGTACATGCGGTCGATGTCGATGCGCGTGTTGAGCGAATTATTAGAGGAGTACCACACTTCTAAAAATGCTCTTCCTTATTGTGTGGTTTTTTGCGCTAGAATCTCCGTTTTGTTCCAATTGAAGCTATGTCCCTCTTCAACAACAAGCGCCGAGACAAGAGACGATGCATAATGTTTTTTACAAGCCCTCTGATGTTCTTGTATTTATGTGGATAGTTTCCTTCCTGTCTATCTCACATACTTTATTTCACAATTATTGCAACTTATTTTATACACGACGTTTGTTCGTTCTTGTGCTTTCCGAATGTCCTTTGGGTTTGACAGTATTCTTCTCAAAGTAGCGGTTGGCTTGTGAGCGACCACGATGCGGAGTTGCTTGAGCGATCTAGTAGTCATTTCAGAAATGTTCTTCATATACGGCAAAACGACCCGCTTGCTCGCATTCAGCATCGGTTCGATGTATGTAGGTTTGTGGTTTAGACATCCTCAGATGAAGCTGCGTGGGTATCCATTGCGCGCAAACAAATCGAATAGGTGTTTCTCTTCTTCCCGTTTGGCTTCCGCTGTACTGCAGTGTGTCTCAATCCTGCGAAATAGTGTCCGTACGCAACTTATTTTGTGGCACTTTGGGTGGTTGCTGTTGAAGTTCGAAATTTGATCCGTATGTGTCCCTTTCCTGTGAACGGATGTTTGAAATTCACCATCGTTTGTTCTGGTCACCAACACATCCAAGAATGGGAGCATGTTTGTTGCTTCTAACTCCATTGTAAACTGAATCCCATGCACTGCATTGTTGAGTAGTTGGTGTGAGAGTGCTACTTCACTGCGTTTCAGTATTACAAATGTATCGTCGACATAGCGTACCCACAACTTTGGGTTAATAGCTGGTAGTAGATCTTCCAACTTTTGCATGACGATCTCAGCGATCAGACTTGATACCGGTGATCCTTTCGGTGCCCCCTTCATTTGCTCGTAGATCTATGCGTTGAACGAGAAGTAAGTTGTGAGGCATAGTTGGAGAAGCTTGCAAATGCTTGCAGTCGTCATACTCCCAATTTTCTCATCTCTGTTGTTCAGGAGTTCTATGATGGCTTCTTTTGTCAGTTGCAAATTGACCGATGTAAGTAAAGCGATGACGTCGAATGAGATCATGGTTTCGTCATGATCTGTATGCAGATTCTTGAGCCTCCCTAGAAATTGCTTGACGTTGTTTACGGAGTGCTGCGATCTAGTAAGTAGATATTAGAGACGCCTCCGCAAGTCCTTTGCCAGGTTGTATCTGGAAGTGAAACAATTGTGTACCTTTGGAAGTCCGTAGAATTGTGCGATGTTCGAGTCACGGGCTCTCATTTTATTCCTTTCAATTGCTGTAATTTCTTTCAACTGTTGTAGTTCATGCAATGTTCGGTTTATCTGATTTGTTAGCTGCGATGTCGGATCGTAATTAATACGCCTGTATGTGGTTGTACCGTTCAGAAGTCGTTTTACTTTCGCAATATAATCTGCCTCATCTATTATGACTGTCATACATCCTTTATCTGCAGGAAGGATAACGATTGACTAGTCGGATCTCAGGGTTTTCATTGCTTCTTGCTCTTGTCGAGATAGGGCAATGTATTGACTGACGTGTGTCATGGCAGGGACGACAGTGTCCGTCGATCACGGACTGATGATTCAATAAGCAGGATTGTACACTGAATATCACCGCACTGAAGATGCGACCTCGCATGGTGGTGAAACGTATGCACTTCCTTTATCAAGCTCGGAGAAACGATGAACAGGTGAACAAACGCACCCATTATTTTGGTAACCAGAGACAAACAATTGAATAACTGTATGAAAAAATGAACCACCGATTTCGATAGTAGTAGTGAAAAAAGCAATCAACTTTATGCGTGGAAATTTATTAAGGCGTAGCCAAATCAAAGTTTTCGTTATGGAAGAGCATTTAGACCATTTAGCAGCATACGTGTGAGGCACTTTTAAACCCAACGGAATGCACAGATTCTCTTTGACTTGGAAATAAACATATCGTCAAAAGTGTTCATCATGTGTCGCTGAGGTGCATAAAGATGTCAAATTGCGACTTTTGTGCGCGCTACGGATCAAAATATGATCGATTTAGTACTGTTTCGTGCAACTGACAGACCACACCAAATGAAGTGTCTAGCAAAACCCGAGACCATAAATATTTACTTATTTATTAAGCTTTCTCCAAACAGATCAGTTAGTAAAAATAACCCTTGACGGTGGATTCCATTAAGCTGCAAAGCGCTCTGCTGAGATTAACGGGAACGAGTTGAAATTTTGCTTTCACGACAGATCAACATTTTTGGCTGAAGCAGTGGTTTTTTCGGAAGCAACTGACTTTTCCACGTGACAAGGTCCGATGAGCGTGACGGTTAGTCGTCTACGGCAAATATGCTCAAGTGTGTTCTGACGAGCGGAGAACAGCCTAAGGCTCTAAAACCTGATATTGTGAGGTGTTAACGGTAATCAGGAGTACAATCCAGGAAAATGACACTGAAAACCCCCGCAAAATGACTGGATTGTGAGTATTAATCAGTACGGACACACGGAAGAAGCAAGTCAATGGAATAAGAAAGGACAGAAATGGAAAGGAAGCCGTCGAACAGCGTTTATCAACGCGGTTAATGTACCCATTATATCAAAGGTTTGGAGCAGTGAGACACAGAGCAGCAGTGGATGTGCCGGGGCATGTGACAACAAGATTTCTAAAAACTCACTCCATTTGGAACTGCCATCATCCAGGTCCAGAAGCGCCTCTGGGATTTGAAGACATCGATCCAGAGCAACCGGATCACAGCTGCTTAACTCTAATGGTAGTGGGCTGTTCGTTATTCGAGTCGGATGGGGTAGGGCGGCATTCGCTATTCCATTGGACCATGGGGGGACAGTGTGTTGTGCAACGATATTCGGAGTGGATACGGCGGAGAGGCCAGATAGCGGCTGAACTGGATCCACGTGTTGAAAAGCGGAATGATTGTCCCCAATTCCCGTTTTGGCGGAGGCAGATGGGCAATGCTGTGCAGCAAATTTGGTAGAAACAGAAGCCGCCTGCGGAGGTGATAAGTGAAAATCGACATGCCAAATCAAAAGGGACCGGGACACCGTAGAATCGTCAAATTCAAGAGTCGATGCCAATAAAGAGTTACCAGGCGGAGGACGTAAAATGCCCTTTACAAAAAGTAACAAAGGATCTTGCCTAAAGTTTAAGCACTTAACCTGATGTGGGGGAAAATAGGGACTAAAGAAAAAGATGAACACATACAAATTTGCAATGCAGAGGAAACGAATCATTGGGCTATAAAGGGATAATGTTCAGTTTGATTAAACAACTGAATCGGTTGCAGTATATATTATACACAATCTGTGGTACAGATATTGTGCCATCGGAATCATGGCTGAATAGGAAAACAATGTGAATAATAAGAAAAGAGCAACAAGAACTACTTTTTTGTTCATTTTGCTACTCGACCAAGGTACTGGCGTTCTTCAATGTGTCTGGACTCCGATGGGAGCAAGCGGCGTCTGTCCATCAGCGACAAGGAATCGGCGGAAATCCAATGCTTCGGTGGGTGACGGGTAACTCCACAAGTGTCGACACTGGCGGAGACTAAAGCGAATCGAGATCACCGTCAATAGTTGAGCCAAGCAAGGTTGACAGTGAGGCTTGGTACCTGGTTAAAATCTCAGCGTTTTGTAGATTTGTGACCTCCGGTTGGTAGTGGGCGCGCTTAGGTGATCCTCCGAAACGCATGCAAATCGTAGCACGAACCAATGCGTGATCGGAGTCTAGATAAGTTGACCAGTACGATCGGCAGTCCGTTACGCTTCCGCTCGATCTGTAGCTGATTGCTATGTGGTCAAGCTGGGAGCACTCTTGCGTTTATGAGGGCGGGCACCAGGTAGCAGTGTGTCTCCTTGAGTGCCGAAAACTAGTGCTCGAAAGAAACAAGCGATGATCAGAACAAAGAGCAAGCAGTCTGTCTCCATTGTCTGATCGACTGCCACCGAGACCAAAACTACCCCCAATCTGGTGCTCGCTTGGTGGAATGCGGCCAACCCGTACGTTAAAGTCCCCGGCAAGAATGACTATATCAGTCCGTTTGGAGGCACGCAGAAGTTCATGTAGTTGTTGATAAAAGCTATCTTTAACTGCATCCGGGCTGCAGTCTGTAGGGGCATAGGCGGAGACGACAAACAAGGCACGCTTAACGTCTCGACGCCTGCTTACGTTACATGAACCTCTTAGTCTGACTGCACATAGTCGGCTGTTGACTGGGATCCAGTCAAGCAGAGCTGGTTCAGCCCTGGCACTCAGTACAACCCGAACAACAGCTTGACCAGTGGCGGCAGCTTCTGGGTCTCCGGAAAGCCGCAAGTAGTATTTGGCGTCAGAGTTTACCGGAGAGGCCATTCTGATGACGGCGCTAGAGTCTTGTAATCTGGTCTCTGAAAGGCAACAGATGTCTACCGAAAGCGTTTCAAGAGTACGGGCCAGACATGCTTGTCGTCCGATCTGCATCAAAGTTCGAACATTCAACGCTGCGAGGATGAATGGAGAACCAGGTCGAAGAAGAGCTGCAGCTTCGGTGGAGTGAGAGGCGGTTGCGATCGGAGGACATTGAAAACCGGGAGTTTGGTTGTTATTTCCATCAGCTGCGAGACGTGGGTCGTTTGTGACGGTGACCGTAGAAGACATCAGAGTACATGCGGGTGAAGGACGGGAGGTGGGGTGATCTGTTAGAAGCAGCAGCAGGCATGTTTCCATATGGCAAATCAAATGGCCATCCTGGACACCGAGTCCCTACGCAGTCTCGCGAACTTCTGGATGCTCGCCGACGAGTTCCGGCTGGAAACGAACAAAACGAGACTCGCAAAGACCACAGATCGAAACTGCGAACTAGCCTGACGAGGTACCGAGAACCGTGGTGGTATCATCGTGAATCGGAAATGGAGACAGTCGCTACCCTTAGTAACTATCGAAAGTTATTCTGTTTGACACGCGAAACGGGTAGCAGGATACCTGGTGTTAGCGAAACTATATGTGCCGTAGCTTATCAAAATGCCTGGAGCGTTGCGTCGAACACCCTGAAAAGCAAATTCTTGGAAGATACTTAGATCCGATCAAGTAGTCATGAGACCAGAGAGGTTTGGAAACGTTAACAAACTACTGTACCAACCGATTGTTTCCAAACCTCTCTGAACTCATGAACCTTGAAAAGCAGTTTAATCGGCCAGTTATCAGCTCTTCTGGCGGCCAACGATCGTCCACCTACCTGCGCCGTTCGACTGGGCCTGCCTTTAGGGGCATAAGTCGAAGGTGAGATCAGATCGTTGAAAGTGAATAAGGCAGCATGAGAACACAGACTTCCTCCAGTCTTCTTTAAATTCGGGGGACCTGGTATTGTAGGTGACGTACACAACTTATTCGTGAAAGTGTGGGAGAAGGAAAATTTCCCAGCAAAATGGAGCCGCTTCAAAAGGAGGCACGCATTCGGAATGCGGCAATCAGAGAGATCAGTCTGATCTCAACTGCCTCTAAGATACTCGCCTATGTCGGTCTTCAGAGAATTGCTGGTACCTGTGAAAGCCAAGTTCGCGAGGACCAGGCCGGGTTTCGTCGAAATCAAGGCTGCATTGACCACACCATCACATCAGTCAATTGAAGGAGAGCCACCATATTAAATTGGGCGACCCACTATAGTCGGTTTCCTAGACATCAAAGGTGCCGTTTGGGATTGTCCACACAAGGTGTGCCAGAAAAATAAGTACATATTATCAGAGCGTTTTCCAAGCGTAGTTCAGGCAAAATGAATGGTTTATGGCAAACTGCTACTATCTTTCAATATCTCAAGCAATGTGAGAGAAAGTTACTCGCTGTAATCTTTCTTCTTTGAGTGCGCAATGGACGATGTCATTGAAACGACGTCCGGTGGACACGAAGTACAAGGTGTGGAGCTGCTCCCGGATGAGTGAGTTAATGACTTGGAGTATGACGGCGACATTACCCTTATTTATGACAGCTCACAAGCGTGCTAAACAGAACCGGATAAGTTAGCTCTTGTCGTCAATCGTTTCGGTCTATAATTTGCACACTCGAAACGGAAGTTCATATCGAAGATTGGCAGCGACCGAACACGGTTTTGACCCTCGGCAGTGACTAGTTAAAAGTCATTGAGAATACAAGTATCTAGGCAGCCATAGCAATGCCATTGGAATGGCATATGAGATCACAAATGGTATCGGAAAAGCTCTAGGTGCTTTTGCTAATCTCCGTCACCTGTGGCGCCGGCGCAACATCATTCTCACACTGAAGGGCAGAGTTAACAATGCCTTCGTCCATCCAATACTCCTATACGGTTGTGAAACCTAGCCCATCAGATCAACAAACATAAAGAGGTTAGCAAAATTCAACCGTCGCTGCATTCGCAGCTTAGCTCAAGTCTGATGGAAGCACCATGTGAGCAATGAGCATGTTCGGCTCCGCGTATCTGGTGCAGGTGCACTAGGTTCCGACGGCTGGGCCACGTGTTGCGTATGTCAGCACACCAACTCCTGTGACGCGTTTTGTTTGTGTGACCGCAGTCTGGCGGGTGTCCTCCGACCGCCGGGCTGAGGTCCGAAGGACGATGAATACATTTACTTGACATGGCGAAGAGTCGACCTCAATGGCGTTTGTGTTATGAGCTTCTTTGTCCCTCCACATTCCGTTTATCTTCCTCTCCAACCATATTTTCACACATCAAGCGCAATATGATACCGAGCGTCGTAACGTTTCTGCATTCTGCAAGATACTGTATGTCGATGTTTCATATATCTCGTCATTTTGTGTCGCGACACATTACTGAAGTGTGTTTCTGATCTCAAGCTAATGCATGTATGTATGAATGATTTGCCACGTGTCGCATGCTGAGGTTGATGTTGCACACATCATGCTTCGTCAACATTGTTGAGCCACTGATTTACGATTAAACCTGGATAAAAACATTCCACTTTATTAAATTCGCTCAGTTCTGTTATTTTGCTGCATGTTCCGTGTTATTTTGTGTTTATTTTCCTAAAAATTTTGTGTTGATTCTTTAATATCTCCAGTATGGATGCGATTAATGTAAAGCTTGACAATGTGCTTACTTGTCTAACACAATTCACCCCCAGGAGATTGTGGATCATTGCTGGAAGGAAACGGGGTGCACGGCCCTCGTGACCGCGTTAGGCTCAGAGTGATTTCAGGCAGTGTGGAGAGGACTACGGCCACGACACTAACTTGTGCACGTCTAGTACGCAGAATACCCAAATTGGGTACACAGGAACGTCGCTGCTGTGCATGATGAAGGAGTGTGGGCTCCCGTACATATGTATACCGGTCATAATTCTTCAGGTTCACACTGGATACAGGGTGATGGTGGATGTACCTGTCGGTGGTAAAGCGCAAGCCGCCCATGGTCCCCTGCAGGCGCAGACCTCCTGTGGCCGTCCCCATGGAGGCTGCAGTCACAAGCAGATCCGAAACCGCAAGCCGCTAACTATGCACGTAAGGCGCTTTATTCAACGTCTCCGACTTCCGGTTACGACTCAAAACGCTAAATGCACTGAATAGAGGGGAGGATATGCGGAGAATCCCATCGAACTGAAACCAAAAAACTTTGGAAGACTGTGTGCATGAAATCGCAAACAGTGACAGTGGCTCTGCGAATAAGACCATAAAAGCCGCAATGAGGATCCTCACAGCTTCGCAATGAAACCTCCGCAAAATTGCCCAACTCGGAGAACACATCAACCCTCTCATAGCGACGAAACAGAAATAAGGAACTATAAGTGTTTGCACACGGACTAGACCGGGAAAATGTAGACCACGCTGAGCGACAAGGAATAAATAAAGAGAAAACGAAGTACCTGTGTTATACCCAAACAGGACCATACCTTTTACGAGTCAAACGAATCCATAGCGGAATCAAGCTCCTGCTTAAGAATATTCAACTGAGTCCGCCAGCACATCAAGTTGAATCTAAAGTGGCGCACACGCACAAATGCGTGCCCATCGTCTTGACCAA